AATCTTTTTGAGCTCTTCTCATTCCCATTTAACACGGGGTATTACAACCCAAGATTCTACATTCAAACGCCTTGGAGATAGCGAAGAGGGTCACTACAAGCCCGTCAAGATACATCTTGGGCCTTAGATGGCCCGGGCTAGCACTTTTGATCAGTTCTGCCATCTATAAGTTACTACTGAGATAGTGAAAGAAATCCCAGGTGTAATACAATGCGAAGGACAATAAGGGAATACTGACAATGACAAAGAGCTAGAAGACTTCATTAAGGATTAAGGTATGGTCTTTGAAGAGCCAACATAGCTACCATCATACAAAAGGGTGTTGGATCGTGGTATACCAAGTGATATTAATGGTATAGATAAACGAACAGGTTTCCAAAGAGAGTTCGGAAAGGTGTTTACAAAAACTGCAAATGACATTCTTTTTAATTATGGGAGTGTTTGATCGTGGTATTCTATATCCCCTTAGCTATCCTTAACAAAACGATACAAAGTATGCAGAACAAAACTCAAGTTGATAAACTTAGATTAGATCCTTTATTAATGGGGGTTGGGCATCTTTAGAACTTCATCCCTACAAGTTGCAATCTAGCTAAAATAGAAGTAAAAACAAACTATTTTCTAAATACTTTGGCCCATTTCAAGTTGTTGCTATCATTATATTGGAAACGTTTGCTACAAGTTGAAGCTACCATCACATTCATGCATACATGATGTCTCCCACGCATCTTAATTCTCAACGAAGCCATTTAAAGGTAGTTTACCTACTGTTGTTCATATGCTTGATTGGTTTGAGAAAAACATGCTGATATTTTGCCTGTTCCAAGAGCTATTCTTTACAAAAGAATTCACAACGTGCAAAACAAAGCTCAGGCACAATATTTGGTGCAATGGGAATGATATGGCCCCCTTGAAGCCACTTGGGAACCAGCTACTAATTTTAAGGCTAAATGCTGTGATTTTCCAATCAATAACTACACTTGAAAACATGTCTCTTTGAAGGAGGAAGCAATGATATGATATGGCTAAACTGATGTGGATTCATTATTGATAATATAACTAATACTTCCTCCATTACACAAAGTCCTTGTTTTATTTTTCATGAGATTTAAAGAAGAGATGTGTTTGTGTTAACTTTTCCAAAATACCCTTGATGTGATGTGTAAAAGAAGGATGTAATGTAACGCCCCAAAACATACCCTAATATTTATTGAAATAAATATTCAATTAAATAAATTTGTTTTGATTAAAAATAAATTGTGTTTGGGCTTTGGGCCAAAATAAAATATGTATTGATATCCAATATCATAATCTAGATAAATCTCATAGAGATAAATCCAATATATTACTTATTGTGTGACCTTGATTGGGAACCTAAGTACAGACCCAAATCAGGAATAAATAAAGAATTTGTTGTGATCTAAATTTTGAAATGATTTATTGAAATAAATCATGAAAATAAGTTATATGAATTAAATGTGAGAACCTTTTTGAATAAAGGTCAACTAAATATTTTTTGACTCTATCAAAGTCAACCACCCAAAAATATGATGTTTGAAAAAGTATTACAAATAAATATAAAAATTATGTCGTTGGATAGAGTTTGACTGTCTAATCGCAACGGTGCAAACAGATTTCAATTCAGAGAAAGTTGGACAAAAAAGTACACCCCAACTGGAACCAAAATTAGTCCCAATCAGGGACGGCGGCTCCTCTTCCACTCAGCCGATCGAAGAGGAATTCCTACGCAACATACCTGTCTTCTTCTTCTTCATCTTCCTATACAAGGAGAGAGAGCTAATCTCTCATTTCTCCACCAATTCATGAAATTTTTCCTCCTAATATGTTCCTCTGAGTGTGGAAAGTGAAATAATGCTGTCAATTTGTTGGGAAGTCGCCGGAGCTAGCCACACACCCCACTAGAAGTTTCACCGGAAAATTTTTAAAACCCCGTTAAGCTTCGAGGTAAGCCCATAGATATATCTAATGACTAGAATGTTCATATAGGTCGTTTCTACATTCATACATGGTCATTTGGTTGAGTTTTGTATTTGACATGTTTAAAGAACTAAGAATCATAAACCTTGAATTTGATGCTTAAACTACGAATTAATGACTCTAAAATGATCCGTGAATATTGGAGAACATTTTTATATAATTTAATTCAAGGTGGGTATCAAAAAAATAATAATTTCAAAAATAGACCAGAGGAAGAAGACGATGAACAGTGGCAGGAAATCAATTATTGTCTTCCTAAGAATCGATTAAAACTTTTGTCCACACGAGGTGTTTGAAGACAGCGCCAAGAAATCAAATTCTAGTATTTAATCGATTATTTATGAAGCAAAAATCGATTTTATTTATTTAATCGATTATTTTTAAATCAAAAATCGATTTTATTGATTTAATTGATTATTTTTAAAGCAAAAATCGATTTTTATGATTAATGGGTTATTAAAATTTGAATAATCGATTTTCCTCAATCTGTTCAAATCCCGCTCCGAAAATATTCCCCGAAATGTTGATTTAAAATCCTATTTTTGATACTAATTGATTATGATCATTATAGAGATGATTTTTCACAATAAAAATGATGTTTTTAATAAATAAAAATATTATGTGATGCATGACGGTAAGTTCGGGTGTTAACACTCGAGAGTAGACCACTATTTGCTATCGAATGTTATGTTGATTGATCATTATGATGAATAAATATTGTGAATGATTGAATCATGGTTAAAAATGAATATGTTGATGATTATGAAATGATTTGTATTGTTAAGGATATCTAGAAGAACTCTAAGATATATTGATGTTGGTTTCTAATACTATCTAGAAGACCTCTAAGATATATTAGAAATAGGCCTTGCGGGTATGATGCCCGGTGGCTAGGGTTAAAACGTACGTACGGGATCCAGGAACCAAACTTGAGTACCTACTCGTTTGGGGGTACCACCAACCCAACAGTGAACACTACGCTGTCGGTTTCTGGTTGGCCTTAAGTGAAGGTAAGTTTAAGATTTTGAAAACCTCGTTATCTTAAACTAGACCTAACTTAAGGATTATTTAGGAGTACCTTAAACTGGAATATAGTTTATTATTTTAAACTAGAATTCGTTTAAGGGTTGGTAAACATGAAAGAGACTGGCCTTAGACTAAGAATAGTTTAAGGATATTGTTGAATACGAATGATGAAAATTGAATGCTGAATATTGTGAATATCATGAATGATAAATGACTTGAATTAAATATTGTGAATATTATGAACGACTGAGGAATGTGTTGGGAAAAATATTATAGATTTTGATGATGATGTATTTAGAATGTAATAGGGACTTTAGGTCTCCCCAAATATTCAATGTAATTTTTCTTTTTAGAAATATTGTTAAAACCGAGGTTTTGAGATTTCCAATAAAGTTGTGATATTTCTTTAAGCGGTTTGATGCCTGAAGACTTAATCAAATTGAGTAATTTGGAAATTGGATATCTTGATCGGAAATGTCAGAGACAAGTAAGGATTTCTCAAAGCAGACGAAAATCCTCTAATCCGGAAGACTACATGAGAACCGGATGTCTCGCTACAACCCGCTGAAGGCTAAGTCGGAAGACTAGCGCGGATTTCTTTCTCACCCGGAAGACTGAGTATGACTCTTCCGGATTTGTCAGCTAAGAACCGGATGCCTCAAGAAAGACCGGAATTCTCAAAAAGCGGACAAGTGAGAAAAGACTTTGAAAATTATCTAAGTTTTGAATGAAGAAATTCTACCAGCTGGTAAGGAAAAATCAATCTCTTGATTTTCAACGGCTAGATTGAAGATAATTATGCTGATTCAAGAACAAATGACTCGAAGACAAAGTCTGGACCTCTAAAAATTGAAGAGCCTGTCCAGAATTCCTAAACAAGCACTAGAAGACAAAAAGAGTAAAGTGCTACAGTCCAGAATTCCTGAACAACAGCTAGAAGACGGAGTCTATGGAAAAAGGAATCCCTCCTTAAAGAATTGGGTATGTCCAAACACCCATTCCAATGAGGAGTCCTCAAATCACAATCTTCATTCAAAAATTGAAGCCAGCAAATGCAACGGATAGTCTATTTTGATTCAACGGATAGATTATCCAATCCAGCTATAAATAGCATCCTTGGAAGACTGGAGAAAAATATACAACGACAACGATAAGATAAACAACCACAACAAAGCTACCTCATTCACAGTTAGCCCAAAAAGCTTGATTAAGAGAGATTTATAAACTCCTTATCCAGAAGCAAACTTCTCCTCCTTCCAAAGAGCTATAGTGTAAATACTTGAAGGTTTCCTTGCCTCAAGTACCACACCACGTTGAAGGATACAACTTTTGAATAAACTTATTGATTGAAAGGGGGTAGGTCAACTTTCTTACAAGTTGGTCTTGCAAGTCCTATTGTTCGGACCTTGCAGTTGTTGAAGAAGCGTGACCTTCGAAGGAACAACAAAGCCAGCACGAGTGCAGTAGCAACATTGGCATTGCGAAGATATACCGTGCAGAAATTCACACAAGTGTAATTGTTGGTTCATTATTCAACAACCAACTACATAGTGGATTTTGAGGACGTAGAAGGATCACCCCACCTTCGAACCTCGTTAAAGTTTGCGTGTCTCTCTCTTTTATCTTTATTCTTACTTGCAATTATATTAACTGTGAAAACTAACCCATCCATATTGATTACTGCTCACTCTACCCACCAAATTCCGCACACAATCTAAAGTTCACAAGAACTCTAGATTAACACTCATTTTCACGTTTTCAAAAGAAACGAAAAAGTTTTAAATTTGTAACAAAGTCTATTCACCCCCCCNTAAAGTTTGCGTGTCTCTCTCTTTTATCTTTATTCTTACTTGCAATTATATTAACTGTGAAAACTAACCCATCCATATTGATTACTGCTCACTCTACCCACCAAATTCCGCACACAATCTAAAGTTCACAAGAACTCTAGATTAACACTCATTTTCACGTTTTCAAAAGAAACGAAAAAGTTTTAAATTTGTAACAAAGTCTATTCACCCCCCCTCTAGACTTTGTATCTCACCACTTTGGGACCACCAATTGGTATCAGAGCCGTACTTCTCACTATCTACGTTTAGATTAACGAGAAGCGATCATAATGGTGAACAATATAGATCACGGTTTGCCCAAGTTTTCTCTTCTAGGTTATGATGATTGGAAGATCATGATGGAAGCACATCTCTACGCTCTACATGATTGCATGTGGATGGTGCTTGAGGATGGACCCTTGAAAATCCGAATGGAGAACCCCGAGAGGAATCCAGCTGCTCCAGATGTAGTCCAGTACATTCCAAAGCCCAAGGAAAAATGGGATGATAGAGATTGCAAAAAGCACAATCTGGACAACGTCGCCAAAGCAGCCATCTTCAAGACACTTGATCCCATCACCTTCTCCAAGATTAAGCATCTGAAGACTGCCATGGAGATTTGGCAAGGTCTTGGGAAGCTATGTGAGGGATCAGAGGACCTGAGAAAGCAGAAGATAGAAGTCCTGCTTGAGAAGTTCAAAAGCTTCAAAATGCTTCCCAGAGAATCATTTGATATGTTGGATGAAAGATTCCACAAGATATTGAATGATCTTGCTTCACTTAACCACATTCTTTCTCCCAAAGAAAAGAATGTAAGGTTGCTGAGATCACTCCAAACTGAGTGGTACACCAAAGCAACAGCCATGGAAGAAGGAAGAAACCTGGAGAACTACACTGTTCAAGGTCTCCTTGATGAACTCAGAACCTATGAGCACGAGCTGAAGAAGAAGAAGGAAGAACAAGTCACTCCCTTCCCCACGGCATTGATGACAACTCCAAGAATCCCATCAAGTGAAGGGACATGCACAAGAAACTGTGACACACCTTCCTCCAGCCAGCCGTTAAGCTCAAAAATGGAGAACTACGATGAGGAATTTGCCATGATGGTCAAGCAATTCCGGAAGTTCAAGAAGTTCTTCAAGAAGGCTGATTCAGTCAGAAGGCCATCCAAGGGAAAGCCACAAGTAAGTGACTCCCCTCCTGAATCTTATTTATGCTATAACTGCAGGAAGCCTGGCCACTGGAAGTCAGCATGCCCGTACCCAAAGGTGGAGAAGTACGGAGAAAGAGAAAGGAACGAGAAGAAAAAGAAGGCAATGGTTGCTGCTCAAAGTGACGAGTCATCCAGCTCAAGCTCGGATGAAGAAGCCCTCGTCTGCATGGAGCGCAGAGTTGAGAAGTCCAACCATGAGGATAGGTGGACTATGTCAAAAGATGACACTCTCTGCCTAATGGCCAAAGATGATGTTGATCAAGAGGTAATCTCACAAACCTCCTGCTCATCTTCTTATAGCATGCCAACTTCTGAAAATCTTTTTGACCAGTTCAAAAAGATGATGGAAGATTTTGAGGAGATAAATCTCAAACACTCATCCTTAACAGAAGAGAACAAACTATTGAGTGAAGAGAATCTCAAGTTGACTGAAAGTCGGAAAAGTCAACTGAATGAGATCACTCAACTCAAGACTGAAAATGAATCTCTCTCTGAAAAGGTGAAATCCCTTAACAAAGAGCTAGGGATACTTAAGTCCAAAGAAGCAGTGAACAAGCTTCTTGAGACGACCAAACATAAGGGTCGTGAAGGACTTGGGTTTGACCCTTCTAGTTCCAAAAGGAAAGGGAAAACAACTTTCATCCCTCCTAAACCTACTGCCAAACCAAATAAGCAGAAAGGGAAGGAAACGGTGAAACCAACAGAAGTTCCCAAAAAGGTAGTCCCTCCTAAGAACTATAGGAAGCTGGACAGACCTCAAAAAGGAAAAAATTTCAGAAGAAAACCTTCTAACCCCCAATATACACGAGGCTATACTCATTATGGGGTAGACATGAGTTTTCCGAGAAATTCTGAGTGGAGAACTATGCCAAGATATAGTCATCCTCAACCCCAGAAACTATTTGTGCCACCTAAGTATGCTTATAACCGACACAGGTCACACTATGCACAACCTAGACAAAACTATAGGTCTTACCAACCTAGGTTTGCTAGGAGGAAATAGGAAATTGCACCTCCTGCACGTAGGAAGTTTTATGCCTACAACTATGATTACAATCCCAACAAGTTTAGAGCTGCAAGGAAAATTCCCTGCAACTTCAAACTTGATGTAGGGACACACACCATTAACTATTCCGGACCCAAACTGAATTGGGTACCAAAATCTTCCTCCTCCTAATGCAGGAAGCCGCTAAGTACCCAGGTGTCTGGTACTTAGACAGTGGCTGTTCAAGACACATGACTGGTGATGCGAGCCTTTTGAGCAATCTAATTCCCTATGATGGTCCAAGAGTTACTTTTGGAGGAAGCAATGATTTTGGCCTTACTAAAGGGCTAGGAAATCTGGTGTACATGGGACTAACCATCCAAGCTGTATCTTATGTTGAAGGACTCAATTATAACCTTCTTAGCATAAGTCAGTTTTGTGATAAAGGTTACTCCTTGGAATTCTGCAAGGACATGGCATCTCTCAAGAACATCTCCACAAATGAAGTCATTCTCACTGGGAAGAGAATCAGAAACATCTATGAAGTGATATGGAACGATGTCCAGGAAGCATGTCTAATCAGCAAAGGTGACAATAACCTTCTATGGCTTTGGCATAAGAGGTTGAGTCATCTCAACTTCAAAACTCTCAACAAGCTATCCAAAGAAGGGTTAGTAGAAGGTCTTCCCAAAACTGTATTTAGAAAGGAAAACATTTGTGATGCTTGCCAGAAAGGAAAGCAAGTCAAGTCTACTTTCAAGGCAAAACCGGCACCCTCAACTACAAGGATATTAAGTCTTATTCACATGGACTTATTTGGCCCTGTTACACCAATAAGTCTAAGTGGAAAGAAATATGTCCTGGTGGTAGTTGATGATTACTCAAGATACACGTGGACAATCTTCCTCAACAGAAAGAAGGAGACTCAAGGGAAACTCACCAACTGCATGAAGCTCATTCAAAACCAAGCAAGTCACACCATTCAGAAGATCAGATCTGACAAAGGCACAGAATTCCTGAATGAAATCATCATTTATTATTGTGAAGAAAACGGAATTCTTCATCAGACATCCGCAGCAAGGACGCCTCAACAGAATGGTGTAGCTGAAAGAAGGAACAGAACCCTGAAGGAAGCAGTGAGAACAATGCTAGCAGAAGCTTCCTTACCAAAGAGGTTCTGGGCTTAAGCTGTTAACATGGCTTGCTATACTCAAAATAGGAGTATGATTTATAAAAGGCACAACAAAACTCCCTATGAACTATGGAACGGGAGAAAGCCTAATATATCATATTTCCATATTTTTGGGAGCAAGTGCTTTGTGTTAAAACACGGGAAGAATCATCTGAACACTTTTGATGAGAAATCAGATGAGGCCATCTTCCTTGGATACTCTACGGTGAGCAAGGCATTCAGAGTCTTCAACAAAAGAACCATGATCACTGAAGAGTCAACACATGTTATTTTTGATGAAAAACATGTGGTTGACAAGCCATCAAAGCATGATCATGAGGTTCTGGATCTATCTAACAAGGATGAAGAAGTCAATGAAGGAGATAGAATGAAGCCTACGGAGTTCATTCCATTCAGAAGTCTACCACTGAAGACTTCACAGAGAAATCTGGATTCAAACAGTGCTGAGCCTACTGGAAATCTTGGCCAGCCTTCCAATATTCCGGATCACTCAAACGGCGACAATTCCAGAAATGGCGACCCAGTGCCAATCCATCCGGAAACACCAACAACTTCTGTTCTTCAACCAGAAGCTGAACTAGATCAACCAGTCAATCCTAATCAACACAATCTTCGTTGGTTAAGGGATCATCCTCCCCAACAAGTCATTGGAGATATTCAATCTGGCGTTCACACAAGAAGTGCTCAGCAGAATCTAGAAGCTATGCTTGCTTGTTTCATCTCACAAGTGGAACCAAAGAATATTGACGAAGCTCTAGCTGATTCTGATTGGATCAATGCAATGCAAGAAGAACTCAACCAATTTTCCAGAAATGACGTCTGAAAACTTGTTCCCAAACCTACTCATCAACATGTCATTGGGACAAAGTGGGTCTTCCAGAACAAGATGGATGAAAACGACGTTGTTATCAGAAACAAAGCCCGGTTGGTTGCCAAAGGATATTGTCAAGAAGAAGGTATATATTTTGATGAAACCTTCGCTCCAGTTGCTAGACTTGAAGCTATAAGGCTGTTTCTAGCCTTTGTTGCTCATAAGGACTTCAAAGTCTACCAAATGGATGTCAAAAGCGCATTTCTCAACAGAAACTTCGAGGAAGAAGTTTATGTAGAACAACCTTCAGGATTTGAGTTACACACTAAGGGAGATCAAGTGTATAGACTCAAAAAGGCGCTGTATGGACTCAAACAAGCTCCGAGAGCTTGGTATGATACATTGTCTCAATTTCTTATGGACAATGGATTTACCAAAGGAGTCATTGACAAGACATTGTTCAAACTACAAGACGGAGAAGATCTCCTATTAGTCCAAATCTATGTGGACGACATCGTATTTGGCTCAACTAAGGAAGATCTCTGCACCAAGTTCTCAACCCTCATGCAAGGAAAATTTGAGATGAGCATGATGGGGGAACTCAACTACTTCCTTGGCCTTCAAATCAAACAGAGAAGTGAAGGGACTTTCATCAACCAAGCCAAGTACACAAGGGATCTTATCAAGAAATTCAAAGTTGACAAGAAGTCATCCGTTTCTGTCCCCATGAGTACATCCACCAAGCTTGATATGGATGAAGATGGAAAGGATGTAGATCAAACTCTGTACAGAGGAATTGTTGGATCTCTACTCTACCTTACTGCAAGCCATCCGGATATCTCATATGCAGTAGGTGTTTGTGCCAGATTCCAGTCAAAGCCAAAGGAAAGTCATCTGATAGCAGCTAAAAGAATTCTTAGATACCTCAAAGGAACTCAGAACATGGGTTTGTGGTATGCTAAGAGAAATTCATTTGAGTTAGTGGGATACTCAGATTCTGACTTTGCCGGATGCAAAGTTGACCGGAAAAGTACATCTGGTACTTGTCAATTCATTGGTGGAAATCTTGTTTCTTGGTTCAGTAAGAAACAAAACTCCATTTCTACATCAACAGCAGAAGCAGAGTACATTGCTGCTAGTAGTTGTTGTGCTCAAATTCTGTGGCTGAAGCAACAACTACTGGACTATGGAGTCAAGAAAAAGGAAGTGACAATCTTTCGTGACAATCAAAGTGCTATAGCCATCTCAAAAAATCCAGTGCATCATTCTCGCACTAAGCACATTAATGTCAAGCACCACTTCATCAGAGATCATGTGGAAAAGAAAGATATAAAAATTGAGTATATCTCGACTGAAGAACAACTAGAGGATATCTTCACAAAACCACTAAGTGAAGCCAAGTTTTCCGATTTGCTTCACAAAATTGGTCTAATTCAATTAGACTGAGTGCGGTACACGTGGCAGTTCACTTTCCACGTCTGTCAAAATGGTGGGTGGGCACGTGGCCTTGGGAATAGTCAAAAACCCAATCGCCACTAGTCGCATAAATCGCCTAAATCAAACCCAATCACCACTATTTAGATCTCAACCGCCCACTCAAAGTTCTTCGTCGTCTTCCTCGCGAGAAACACTCAAGAACCCTAAGATTTTTTTTCCAGAATCTCACTCAAATCTCTGAGAAAATGAAGGTTGTCGGCGCAAATGTTCATTTCCAGAAGTTGGAAGCCAAATGCTCCTCACCGGCATTCTATCAAAGCTATCTGGAGATGATAGCCGCTCAAGAACTCTCCGAATTTCTTCAAATGGAGATTCGCCTAAAATTTGAAGAAGAAGTTCTTGAATTCTACAAAAATGGAGAGGTCAAGACTACTCATTCAAAGAAGGACCCACAGAGGACGTTTCAAGTCATCAAATCTGGACTGGAACATCATTGGAATTTCTGGACAAGCTCCTTCTGGCCAAGTGAAGAAAGTAGATCTGAACAACGACTACAAATTAGTTTTGGAACTGGTCATCGCTTGCCTCGAGTGTGGAAGTGGAGGTCATGCTGATGACATCACGCAGGAGAGAGCCTTCATCATCAACGCTCTCATTACGAAATCTAAGGTAAATTGGGCTGCACACTTCTTCAAATCCATCTCAAAACATCTGGGAAAGCACAATCAGAAGTATCTTTGTCAAGGTCTATACATTGGACATATTTTGGAGTCTATGGGTGCTGCTTCTAAAGGAAAGAAGTATGAAGAAAGATATTGGTTATACTATCTGTCTTCAAAAGGGGAAAATAGAGCTGGTGCTAGTGCTACTGCAGAGGAAAGCTCATCAGATAATGTCCCACTCATCAATCTGACGAAGACTGCCAAAAGGAAGCAAGTGATGTCTTCCTCTCTCAGTGTAGAAGCACCACAGAACCATGTTCCAGTGAATCTTGAAGAAGCAGAAGAAGTCTCTGTCCAAGGAGAACTCCAATGGACGAAGAAGAGGAAAATCACCTCTCCCTCAACATCTGGATATGTCAATCCGGATGAGTTGAAGGAGAAGGAACCAGCTGAGGAAACCTCTGCCCACAACCGGAGTCCTCAACAACTTAAAGAAGAAATTCCTCAAGTTCAACTATGATTGGAGAGCCTGGAAACCAATTCACAGCTATGGTTGACTGGTAGTCCTAGATGATGCTGATAACCAATTCTGGCAGCTCTACTATGATTGGAGAGCCTGGAAAGTTGGAAATTCAGCAGAGCAACTGTTGGATTGGGACCAACAACTGAAGAATGAGAAGATTATCAAGAAATGCCTAGGACTACCAGTCAACCATAGCTGTGAAGAAATCTTGGATGACTACTGGGTATGGCAAAGGAACCAAGAAGACCTGCATCTGGAACACTTGGATACCACACCAATTTCAGAATTTGAAGTGGATGATGAGGATCCTGCAGTCTACAAACCAGTCCTCTCAAAAACCACAGAAGACCAGGTGGTTCTCACTTCTGAAGCACAGGCTAACTTGGAAGCAACAGCTGAGGATTTCCAAATATTTCCGAAAACCTCATCTGCCTTTGAAAAGGTTCTACCTGAAGCTGCAGTCTCTACTCCACAAAAACAGAACCAGGAAGGATCAAATGAAGAACTTCAGCAACATCTCCCGTCTCAAGATCTTGAGATTCTCACAACTGCTTGTGAGATCTCCAACCAGCCTGAAAAGGAGATCCTGGAAAAGTCAGCAGAAATTCCGGAGCAGTCAACTTTTCCAGAAACAAATGAAGAGGAACAAGCTGTAGAAGCCCAGAGGAGTTCTGCAGAAGCTGAGAAGGAAACTCAAATGGCAGAACTCGAGGACTCTAAATCTCCAGTAGCCATTTTTGAAGAACAGAATGAAGCTGAGGATAGAGACTCCCTCTCTAGGGATATATCAAATTTTATACTTGAGGAAGCAGAAGAAGAATCTGAAAGGACGCTGAAGATCAATGATGAAGAAGATGTGTAAGAAGATGCTGAATCTCTTCCTTTGCAACTCTTTCAAAGGACATCATCTCCTCATCAGGTAACTAATTTTCACTTCCATAGCTCTTCCATTCCTACTCTTCCGGATGAGATACTGGAAACCTGGACAAAGAAGGTCCAAGGGCTGATTGAGCCAGCCCTAGCATCTCAACATGCCTCCTTTAGGCAAGAGATAGAGCAGATGGAAGCCAGGTACAACAAGCTGATTGAGAAATCTGAAGAGACACACTGCTCCAATCTCAAGGAGATAAGCAAATCAGTGGATAAGACTCTAGAGATCATTTCTCTATTGAGTAACACTGTGAGCAACACGATGAAGACATATGCATCTGACAGTTATCTTCAACTCAAGGAGGTTAACAAAATCAGAGAGCAAATAGCAAATGTCACAGTTAGTCTACAAAAACAAATGTCTCTTCTCCAAATGGACATCAGAGCAGCTCTGGCAGTGTCTTCAGCAAATCAAGTAGTAACCAAAGACTACTTGAAGGTAATCATTGACAATCAGAAGGAAGCACACAAACTATTTAGACTTCTTACCACAAATTCTGGAAATCGAAAGATGGAAGTGGTTCTTCAACAACACAGTCCATCCTTGATTCCAGAGCTCCTTATTGCAGTCAAAGAAGGAGAAGTCTCTTATATTCCTACGCATCTAAACTTGACTGATCTAATCCTTGACGCTCAGAGAAGTAATCCGGAAAACTCAACACAGCACCTATCAAGCTCAGGATTGGATGGAACAGAGGCTGTAGGAACAATTGCTGCTCACTTCTCAAATGATAACCAAACAGAGGAAAGACACAACAACATAAGACGCATCAAAGAACTATGTGGAAACATGCAAGGCATCAGGGAGATTGCCGAATCTTCAAAGCGCAAGAAGCACTGAAGGCTTTTTTCATCAAACCAGGGGGAAAGTATGTGAAAACATTAAATTGCTTTGATGAAAACACCTTCTTGTTTAAACATTGCTTGATTGGTTTAAACATTGCTTTAATATTTCTCTTAATTGTGCTTACTATGCTTGATTATGCCTATTTCAAGTATGATTTTGAGATTTATTCCTAGCGCAAACATTCAGGGGGAACTTAACTAGTCTTTGGCTAACAATTGTTTTTGGCAATGAATTATTGAAATTCAGGGGGAACTTAACTAGTCTTTGGCTAACAATTGTTTTTGGCAATGAATTATTGATGAGCTCTAAGCAATGGAAGACAGATATCTCAGTTTTGGTACTAAAATTGGAAATCTCCGATTCAGGTACTTTACAAAATCTGCCTTCTTAAACTAAGCTTTAGTCCTTAATTCATTTCCAACAAGCTCTAAAAGTACTGGTCCTTAGGATTTTTAAAATGTACAGGACTTTGGAAAAATAGTACCACTTTTCTTTTAAAAATAAAATTCATATTTGTTTTGGTACTACCTCGTCCTAAGTAGAAATTAGAACTATAGGGAATGAAAAATGATAGTTTTATTTTGGGCCTTGAGAACCTAATAGGAATAATTTCCCTTTAGTACATAGCTTTCTTTTCTTTTTGGTCCACTCTTTTGGGCTTAGCCAAACTAAAATAGTTACGGTTCTCAAACCAAACGAAACTGATTTTCAAATTGGAACAGTTTCAATTCATTGGTAATTGGTAAAAGATTCCTTCCAATTTTCAACTTCTTGAAAGTTGAAACTCTTTTACTCTCACCGTTCCATCTACCCAATTAGTGGAACCCATGAACCTCCCCTCTCTCTACCTCCTCTCTTATTTAAATCAAGACATCCCAATCCATTCATATCACAACAACTCTTTCAATATGAAAAGTCTTCAAACTCACTGTCTGAGAAACACACCAAGAAAAATATCCTCAATGGAGAAATTTTTCTTTCTCACCCTCATAGACGGGAATGGAGAAAGCCTAATGAGAAGAAAAGACTTTCAAGGTCTATGGTGAGAATCTCGGCAGTAGAGAAGGTCTGTTGTGAAAATCTCGTATTTTTCAGGATTACACCATACACCTTCTCTAGAACAACACTCTCTCTATCTTTCTTTTGAGAGATGTGTTACTTCCAAGATCTTGAATATCTGTTAGAATAATAGACCAACGCTAGAGGGGGGGGTGAATAGCGTTTGATCGTAGAAATAGCAGGAATTAAAAATTAATGAGAGAAGTAAAGAAAAGAGTAAGAAGCACACCGAATTTTACCCTGGTTCACCACAACTTGTGGCTAATCCAGCCTCCCGAGAGACTCTCTCGAGCTACACTACTATCTCGTTAAGCTTGCGGGTGCTTAACAAACCGTTACAACTTGAGAGTTCAAGTCACACGAACCTCAACGAATCCTTCAAAGGAAACAACCCTTCCTTTGAATCTACCGAGAGAAGTACCTTCTCTCAAAGTGTCTAAGAACACAAATACACTCAAGAACGAGACTCTCTTATAGAGTAGATTATGAGTAAACTCAGTACGCTCAAGAACAACTCAACCTTCACACAAAATGGCTCTAGCAAGCTATGGAAAATGATGATATTTGAGTGTAATGAAAGTATGAATATTGTGAAGTGAATTTGGTGAGAAAAGCAGACCCAAACACCCCTTTTTATAGTGCCAAAATAGGCTCCAACGGACCAATGCATTAAAGGGGTGATTGGCTTGATTTAAGGGATTGAATAAATTTGGGATCTGCAGGATATTGGCTTCCCATCGATGTTTGGAACTTACCCATCGCTGGCAAGCCATTTTTTCTTTCAGTTTTGAAGCCAACGGTTACCTACCCATCGATGGGT